TGAACAGCTTCATACAATCCCATACGTTCTATTTTGACACATAGTTACCGCCTAGCGTTTTCGCGTCCGTGCGAACGCTCGCTTAGGCTATAATTCAGGCTATTAAACTCAGGGGGTAAATATTTTGGATAAAAACCCTAATGTGGGAAAGAGACCATAAATTCTTGCCAACATCAAGAAAGTAAGATTTCCAAGGTTTGTCATGTCATGTCATTTTGACATTTGCATTTGACAATCTTACTTTTTTATGTTGGCAGCAACTTATGGTCTCTTCCCCACATTAGAGTTTTATACAACATATTTACCCCCTAAATTTAAAAGCTTGAAATATAGCCTAAAACTTATAAGTGTAGGGCTTTTTATTAAAGAAAGAATTATTCAAAAATATGGTGTAATTGCTGACATCTTAGGCAACAAAGAAGTGTGTGTTTACGCTTTATTATAATAGATAGATATACCGACTGTAGTGTTTTATTCCAGATGCATCCTACCCCCGGAGCCTCAGAACGGCGTCTACAGAATAATTAGCGAGACCAACTCAAGTGACGCAGACTACGTTTATTTGCAATATGATTGTTATCCAGGATTCAGACTAATTGGGGAACCTAAGATATTATGCTGGAGAGGAGTATGGCCTAGGATACCGTTTTGTATACGTTAGTTAAAACCGATATTTCTATACTACTATTATCAAGTACTAGCTGTTCCCGTGCAGCTTCGCATAAAATTATTAAAAAAAAACTATATTTTATTGTTCAAATTTGTCAAATTATTTGCAAATGTCAAAATGACATGTAAAACTACGACAATCTAGCTTCCTTGATGTTGGCAGCTACTTATGGTCTCTTTCCCACATTAGTTGTTATCTAAAATATTTACTTCCTAAGTTTAATGGCGTCCCCTTCGCCGTCAAATCCACTTTTCCTTCCCATCCTCTTAAGAAAAGGGTGGAATGGGAAAGGGACTAAAAATAGGCCTCCGGCACCACACTCATTAGACAAAACGCGGAATTGCTTCCACTTCACGCCTGTTTCTCTATGGTCGTGGTATTGCTGGGGCGAGCCCTGCTGTGCGAAGATGTTAAATCGGGCTCTACCACTGTTTTTTTTTTACGATTTGATATTCTTTAGATTCCTATTTGATTTTCTTATAGAAACCTGTCCCTTACGTAAAGACCCCAGTATAGAGTATCAGTGCACAGAAGAAGATCTGGAGACACCTCGGCAGTGCGGGGAGGAGGAGGTGGAGGGGTCGCTAGTGCGGGCCTCGTGCCGGCAGCCGCACTACTACTCGCCGGTGGAGCTGCCCTACATGCAGTGCAGTCAAGGAGCTTGGAGTTCAGGACCCGTCTGTGTTGCAGGTATTACCACAACTAGGGTTGTAACGGAACTCAGGTTCCGCATCCGCTTCCGTTAAAACGGCCTCCGTTACAACTCTAATCACAACTAATCCTATTTTTTTTCCAGTGGGGAATGTTTTATGTATACTGCCGTCCCGGTGACGAGGGGGCGCGGCATTTATGTGGGATTCTCCTCTTGCGAGGCATATCCACCAAACCCCTCTGTTCCTCCAACGCATTATCATCATCCACTTGCCCTTATCCCTATGGAGGGTCGGCACAGTATGTGCTCCATACATCTCTATCAGCCGTCATATCTGAATACACTCCTTTCTTAAGCACTCTTTCACACAATCCATCCATACTTTCTTCGGTCTTCCTCTTCCTTTGCAGCCAACGCATTATAATGAGTCAATTTATACCCTTTTTTGACCGACTTCCCAAAAGAAGGAGGTACTCAATTCGTCTGTATGTTTTTTTTTATGTGTGTTACGGCATAACTCCGCCGCTAGTGCACCGATTTTGATAATTCCTTTTTTATCCGAAAGGTAATGCTTGCAGGTAGGTCCCATTTTTTATTTGATTTTTTTGTCTATAATTTCAGAATGTGGTACAACGCCACCTATTGTCTCTCAGCTGGTGCTGGGCGGGGAGACAGCCAGACATGGAGAGGTCCCCTGGCACGCCGGGATATACTTTAAAGACCCCTCTAATGACAGTTACAAGCAGATTTGCGGGGGCTCGTTAGTTAGTACTACTGTAGTACTGTCAGGTAAATGCACTAGTTAACTAAGAAGCCTTAGCTTATCATACTAATCTTATAAACTAGCTTTTGACCGCGACTCCGTCTGCGTGAAGTTTTTAAAAAAATGTTAGTCTCTCGAAGTAGCTTTCTAATAGAAAAAGGTATTAAAAAAAAACTAGTTTTTTAATTGAATCAAAATACATATCTTGAATTTAAAAATAATGAACTTGTAAAAAAATAATAAGCCTATGTTACTCGCTGATAACGTAGCTTTTTAATGGTGAAAGAATTTTTGAAATCGACCCAGTAGTTTTTGAGTTTAAGTAAATACAAAAATACAAATTTTTCCGCTTTATAATTTTAGTCTAGATGTATAGATATAGACTAATCTATATATCTATATTAATATTATAAAAAGGAAAAGTTTGTATTTTTGTGTTTTTTTATGTATTGAAATAACTTAAAAACTACTGGGTTGATTTCAGAAATTCTTTCACCATTAAAAGGCAACGTTATCATCGAGTAACATAGACTATGTTTTTTAATGTCACGATAAAGTCGCGAGCTACAGCTAGTAATATTATAAATGCGAAAGTTTAGATGGATGTTTGTTAGAGTAGTCTAAACTGCTGAACGGATCTCGATGATTGTCATTGATGTAGATAGGCTGGAAGAACACATAGCCATTGTTTTTTTAATTCCACGCGGGCGAACTTACGGGCAAAAGATTCTTTTGGAGAAGAAAACGTCATCATCTTCCTCTTTATCCTACTCCCGTAGGTCGCAACAGGATTTTGTCCTCCATATAACTCTATCATACGTCATCTCAGTCATCAGTCTCTTCTTGATCATATCACCTTTTACGCAATCCATCTCTTTCTATGTCTACCTTTACCGGTGTACTCATAACCAACGTCGTTCTTGTTACATGCGATTTATCCCTCATAACATGCCCCCATACTAACCTTTTACTTCCTTCTCTACCACTGGGGCTATTCTCAAACTTCCTCTTATATACTCATTACGTATTCTATTTTGAGAAGAAAACGTAAATATATTTATTTATACAGCCGCACATTGCTTCTGGAACGAAGTGACAAAACGGTTAGAGAACAAACATAACTACGCGGTGGCGGTCGGCAAACTGTACCGCGACTGGGACCACCATAAAGACGAGAGATTCGTTCAAAAATCTAACGTAAGAATCTATCTATACTAATATAATATAACGTAAACACACTACCAGTAAATATTTAAATAATAATTTTAGTTAAGTTTGTTAAATATGTAAACCGAATATCGATAGTTCATAGTTCAATGCATGTTTCTTTCGTCACTGCAACACCTGTCTATTAAGTACGACATTTGCCTTCATACAAATTATTTCGATACTTTATATGCGTCATTTATCAAACTAATCTATCTTATTTAGACAAACCATAGTATATATACTTTATCACCACCAGATCAGTAAGGTAGTTGTACCAAAGCTATACCGTGGTATAGAATTGGACTATCACCACGATATCGCAGTAGTTGTGGTGACGAAACCGTTTGAGTACAAATTGTACATTAGCCCCGTCTGTTTGGACTTCAGACCTGACTTCAATAATGAACAGCTGCAAAGCGGACAGCTGGGGAAGGTAGGATTATTATAATAAACTTTTCTAAAAAAAAAACAAACTTATAACTCTGTAAACACTGAAATATTTCCATTAGATACCAATATAAAATGCAAAGATGTGTATTGTATGTATGGAAATAACTCAAAAACTACTAGGGATTTTTTCTATACTAATATTATAAAGGGGGAAGATTTGTATTTATGTATGTATTAAAATTACTCTATAGCTACTGGGAAGATTTTCTATACAAATATAAAGAGGAGAGAATTGTATTTTTGTATATATTGGTATAACTCAAAAACTACTGGGGCAACTTTCTATACAAATATTATAAACATGAATTATTTGTATTTATGTATGTATTGATGATGATGATGAGAGCGTCGGTGGCTCAGTGGTTTGGACACTTGACTTGTAATCTACAGGTCTTGGGTTCGAATCCTGTACCAATGTGATTTTCGATTTTTCGAATTTTCATATGTACATAATTTACCCGACGTTCTTACGGTGAAGGAAAACATCGTGATGCAACCTGCACATATCGGCGAAGAAATTCAAAGATATCTGTGAAGTCAACCAACCCGCACTTGGCCAGCGTGGTTGACTATGTCCTAGTCACCCTAACTTTAGGGTAGGCTCCGAGCCCCTCGGTGGGGACATATAGTGAGCTGGTGATGATGATGATGATGATGTATGTATTGAAATAATTCAAAAACTACTAGGGCAATTTTCTATACTAGTATTATAAAGAGAAAAGATTTATATTTTTCGATTTTTGTATGTATTGAAATAAATGTAGAGGATAGTCTGGAACACGTAGGCTAATTGAGTTGGCTATTTTTTTCTTAATTCCGCAAACAAAGTCGTGTGTAAACTCTAGTGATATACAATTGCAGGCAGCCGGTTGGGGTTTGACAACGAAATACCGTGGCTCCGAGTCCCAGGAGTTGAAAGTGATTGAATTGCCTTACGAAGACCTGGACAGATGTATTAATTTGACATCACGACAACTAAAACATTATGTGGTGTATGACAAGATATGCGCCGGCTCTTTGGATGGTGAGAGAAATTCATTACTATACTATATTCCGCGACTTTGCCCGCGTACAATAGAAAAATATAGCATATGTTACTATCAGATAAATTACCTTTCTAAAGGTGAAAGAATTTTTAAAATTGTCCCAGTAGTTTTTGAGTTACTTCAATATACAAAGATACAAAACTTTCCTCTTTAAATATTAGTGTACATTAATTATTTGTGTGTTTAATTAATGTAATTGTAAATATTAACTAATTATTTTGTTAAAATGGTTCCAAGAAAACTAACCTTAAAATTTTAACGCTGGATTTTTCTTAAAAATAAATAAATGTAAGAATTTTTAATTGACAAATTCATTTACTCTCTCTAACTAAATGTATTATTGGACATTTTAAGCTTAAAATACACTAACAATTTACAGAATAACGGTGAAAAATTTTCAAAACACTAATTTCGTTTATAACTGTCAATTACTGGTACATTTCTTCTTCTTCTTCCTTAGCTCTACAGCCTTTTGTGGGCCTTGGCTTGGTCAAGCAATTTTACTGGTACCTAGCTAAAAAATAAAATCGAGTTATTTTATGTACAGGGGAGGGTCTCTGTCGGGGAGACAGTGGGGGAGGGCTGGCCTTCCTCTCGGAGGTGTCCGGAGTGTCGCGGTACTACCTCCGCGGAGTCGCCTCCACCAGCCCCTTGCTCAGTAACGACGTCTCCTGTAATGTCAACTCTCTTACTAGTTTTACCGCTATTTTAACGTATGAGGATTTTATTAAGCGATATTTATGATTATAATATTCATTTGTACTCTTATCTTTATATAAATAAAAGATTCATAAAAAAAAATGTGTTTTATTACTTAACTAGCTTTCGCCCACGACACCGTCTGGAATTAAAATAAAATGAGTAACCTATGTGTTCTTTTAGACTATGTTCTACTGTGCCAGATTTTATTGAGATCCGTTCAGATGTTTCGGTTACAAACTCTAACAAACATCCATCTAAACTTTCACATTTATAATATTAGTAAGATATCTACACTATTATAATAAAGTGAACACACATTTCTTTGTTGCCTAAGATGTCAGCAATTACAGCATATTTTTTGGAATAATTCCTTTCTTAATACAAAGCCCTACACTTACGTCACGCTTTAGACTATACATATATTGTCATGCCATTAAGCTTAGGGGGTAAATATTTTGTATAAAAACCCTAATGTGAGAGGCCATCAGTTGCTGCTAACATCAAGAAAGCTAGGTTGCCATCGTCATTTTGACATTTGCAATTAAAAGTTTGACAAATGTAAACAATAAAATAAAATTTCCATAATTTTATGCGGATAAGTCGCACGGGAACAGCTAGTTTTTGCATGAAGTAGGATATTACAATTTGTAACAACGCCATCTAGTTATTGGGAAACAAACTAATGTTTTAAAGGTGATTACGTAATTATTTTCAATTATATAATGTCGTTTTAATTCATGTATTTAATGACTTTCTAAAACATTATTACGTAATAACTAATTAATAATTATTACTTATTTTAAATTTGTGTTGTACATTTTTTTAAAGCTTATTCTGTAGAGAAAAGTCTCAGTGAATGTATTCAAAACATTCATGTGAATATTTTTTTTAAATTTTTAGGTTTAAAATAGTGATAATGGAACATAGAATAAATTTATTTATACACTTCGGTAAGTTAAATATTCATATCTTTTTAAATAGAATAATGCGAGTATAGAAATTATTGAAATCTATCTAATGCCCGTGACTTTGTCCGCGTGGAATCAAAAAACCGAATAGGCTATGTGTTCTTCATTTATACTCAATTTCATCGAGATCCGTGCTGCAGTTTAGGCTAGAAACTCCAACAAACATCCATCTAAACTTTCAACGAGCAAGAGTCCACCTGAATCCACCGAAATGGAAAGCAACCGCTGCCCATAAACATCCGCAATTGCAGCGCTGCCTACCCTTCATTGACGGAGACGCACATAAAGAGGACATTTCCTCTTCCTATGCGTCTCCACGAAATCCACTTTTCCTTCCCATCCTTTCCTCTAAAGGGTGGAATGGGAAATGGACTAAAATCAGGCCTCCGGCACCACACTCATCAGACTGTACGCGGAATTGCTTCCACTTGACGCCTGTCTGTGTGGTCGTGGTATTGCTGTTGTTATGTATATAATTAGTAATGATTTTTTCTTCTTATCTATTAAGTCTAATAAAACTATATATTTCAGCTATTTATTTGACTGCAGTTACAGCACATTTGGATGGATATTTTTTCAGGTATGTAATAGTGTATAGTGTATATGAACACATGTGAATTACAAAGCTATAGAATGAATACGATGAAAATGTGATGTAAAAAAATCTTGTCTTACAGTTTTAATTTTTGTAAAACAACGCCATCTTTTGTTTTTATTACAAAAACATTTCTTAATTATGAAACCCTAACTTTCACTCGCGACTTCATCCACGTGGAATTTAAAAAAAAAACAAAAGTGAGTAGCCTATATGTTTTTCCAGACTATCCTCTACGTCAAATTTCATCGAGATCCGTTCAGTCGTTTAGGCTACAAACTAACAAACATCCATCCATCAATCTAAACTTTCGCATTTATAATATTAGTAAGGTAGTAAGATTATTTTGTTCTTTTGCATATAAAGTAATTATTAACTTTAAAAATATGTTTTTGATATGTTTAATTAATAGAAATAATTTTCATTTTAGAAATAATTCTAACTCATACGCTGAATTGAGGAGATTTAAACGACAAACTCAACCAAATTATTGTCAGTAAGTATTCTATTATTTAACAGTCGACAAAAGAAATATTTCATTACTGTATATCCCCTTCTCTGTTGAAGTAAAACCTGATGTAATCTTTAACCCTTGATATTTTTACAAGGGAGGGAAAACCAACGAACTAACAAGGGGCTAGTAGTACAAAAGTACTGAAGTTTTTGAGTTACTTATGAGAAATACAGATATTTTACTATTCGCAGTAGTATGTACCTTGATTTTTTGTATTTTGGCTCTCAAGGGCTTTACCCTCTACCTTTTCCGCCGTTTTATAATTGGCCGTAATATGCAAGTATCCTAAGTAACTAAGTGTTCTTTCAAATCTAAGAAATTAGAAATATTTATAGACGTGGCAGTAAACAAAATGTTTGACTGGTACTTTTAAACATTTTACAAAATTATAACAATCCTTCTTTTGTTATAAAATAAATTAAACAGTGTTACAAAACATAAACATTTAAATATTATTTAACGCCACCTATTGGCGAAATTTAAATACAATTAATTGTATTGATGGTTTACTATTAATAGATGGCGCTATTTAAAAATGTGTAAAGTGTTAACTAAGCCTCTGTATATTTGAATCTCTTTACTGTCAAATGTAACTAATAAAACGATTTTCCTTGCAGAAAAGAACAGTGGCAATGTGCTGATGGAGAATGTATTAGTGTGGACGATATATGTGATGGCCGTCTTGACTGTTTGGATGGCAGTGACGAAACACACGCCCTCTGCCGGAAAATGAGGTGTGTATGTCACTGGCCAGTACTGATAGCCAGTGCTGACCGTTTTTTAGAACTTTTATATAAGTTAGTTGTTCCTCACGACTTCTTTCACCTGAAATTTAAAATTAATAAAAAAACTACCTATGTTACTTACTGCTAACGTAGCTTTTTAATGGTGAAAGAATTTTTGAAATCGTCCAAGTAGTTTTTGAGTTATTTCAATACATACAAAAGTCCAAAATACATATCATAACATAAGTAAAGATTAGTTTGAGCTTAGAGAATCATAGATTAATTTCCTTGTATTTGCAGATGTCCAGAACACCTGTTTCGATGTACATACGGCGCTTGTGTGTCGAGTAAAGCGCCTTGTGATGATAAAGTGGACTGCGCCGACGCCTCGGACGAACTCAGTCCCATTTGTAGAATTAAAAGTGATGAAATAAAGTAAGTCATTATTTATATAAGCTGTTGCTCGCGACTTCGTCCGTGTGAAATTTAATAATATAGCCTATCTTACTCACAGATAAATTACCTTTCTAAGGGTGAAAGAATTTTTTAAATCGGCCTAGTAGATTTCGATGTAATTTGGTACAGATGTAGATAGTAACTTTTGTTTTATTTCACGCGGACGGAGTCGCGGACAATACCTAGTTATATTTATATTATTCTTTACTATCTAGTTACAAATAACATTAAAGAATAGTTTAATTTGGACGCAATTTAAACTTCTTGTCCACTGGAGTAAGGAATACTTTAGTTTTCATAGTTTTCGATTTACTGAAGATAGATGGCGGTAAAATCAATTTTATATTAGTACTAATGCTGAATTTTTGAAGTTTTTGATTCTGCCAGACACTTGCAAGGGGCCTTCAATGTCTGGCTGTTGTAATAGACGGAGAGCGTCTATTACCAGTTACGAGACAATAGGTAGCGTTGTACCTTATTTTGAAATATCATACAAAACAATTGAATTGGCTGCGAAACTGTGAGATAGTTTAGTTAGTGCGGCCACTAACTATTTTTTGTTACATTCCAGCGGCCAATATATATGTACTAATGGGCAATTAATACCAGTTGAGAAGCGTTGTGATGGTATACCACATTGTAAGGATGGTTCGGACGAGACTGTCAGATCGTGTGCCAACATGACTTGTCATCCGTATCTATTTCAATGCGCTTACGGCGCCTGCGCAGATCACGGTGCGGATTGTAATGGAGTAAGTAGACATCATCACTATCCCCACTTAGGGGCCCCTAAGAAACAGTCAAACACACTGCGCGACTTCACACTTATCTTTAAATTTCTTCAACGATATGCATCACATCATAATAAAAAAATATATAAATCAATGAACAAATAAATAATAACTTGTCACCGGTTTCTCTAAAAGGTAATATTATCAGTTGCCAAGTTTAGTGTCACCTCGTGTATTGACATATAATAAAACTACTAAACTTTAATAAGCGCCATCTATTGTTATAAAATAAACTAAACCATGTAACAGCGTTTACAGCGCCATCTTTTGTAAGATTAATGAAAACATCGATCACAATCGACGCGACTTTTTTTCTAAATCTTTCTTCTACTATATTTAGTAAATGATTGTTGTTTTTTATTTATTATTAAATAAAATATTAATATTTAAACAGATAATCGACTGCGCAGACGGATCGGATGAAGCTGTTGAACTATGCAGCAACGAGACAATATCTACTTTGTTGACCACAACGTGAGTATTATTACCATTAAAAACATATTTAAGACGTAAAAAAAACTAATAATAATTTACTAATATTAAGAGGAAAGATTTGTATTTTTATGTATTGAGATAACTCAAAAACTGGTTATTTTCAACGGATTTCAAAAATTCTTACACCATTAAAAAGCTAGGTTATCAATAAGTAACATAGGTATGTAAAGTCAATCCTTGAATGTTTTTTCCACAGACCTGTTGTTGAAATTAGTTCTAAATGCAAACTTCCTGACTACCCTCAATACGGTACATATACCGTAGTAGGCTTTCCCACCGCTGTTCCTGGTCAGATATTGGAAAAGCCGATTATAGAAATGTCATGTAACACAGGGTATGCTTTAGATTCTCCTAACAGTATGTATTGTGTTGATGGAACCTGGTCTTCAGCACCACCAAGATGTGTCCGTAAGTATACCACCAGCTTACTACGCATCCCCACTACCTAAATTAAGGGAGACTAGGACATAGTCAACCACACTGCGGAACTCCATACCTGTGTTTGAATTTCTTCACCAATATGTGCATTACAATTTCCTTCATTAGATTTTAAGGTACGGAGAAATATGAATGTCTAAGGAAGGAAGAAAAATGATCTTCAAGAACTTTAATAAATGGCAGTATAAAATTTTGACCTCTCACTTCGATAGATGGCGCTATATATAATTTTTAAACTGTCACTTCGATAGATGACGCTATATATAATTTTTAAACTGTCACTCCGATAGATGGCCCTATATATAATTTTTAAACTGTCACATCGATGATGGCGCTATATCTAATTTTTAAACTGTCACTTTGATAGATGGCGCTATATATAATTTTTAAACTGTCCCTTCGATAGATGGCGCTATATATAATTTTTAAACTGTCACTTCGATAGATGGCGCTATATATAATTTTTAAACTGTCACTTCGATAGATGGCGCTATATATAATTTTTAAACTGTCACTTTGATAGATGGCGCTATACATAATTTTTAAACTGTCACTTCGATAGATGGCGCTATATATAATTTTTTAACTGTCACTTTGATAGATGGCGCTATATATAATATTTAAACTGTCACTTTGATAGATGGCGCTATATATAATTTTTAAACTGTCACTTCGATAGATGGCGCTATATATAATTTTTAATCTCTGACTCAGATAGATGGCACAAATAATTGTAATCTCTAACTTCGATAGATGGCGCTATATACAATTTTAATCTTTGCCAGGTCAATGCAAGATGGTAGAAAACCCTACAGTGTCTTACGAATGTACTATGATGTTTGGTAATAACACAAAGAGTTCGTGGCCTTGTAGAGAATATGAGTTAGAGGGAACAAGTGCAAATGCAAATTGTAAGAGCAACTATCACTTAGGACACCGTGAGAGTTTCCCTTCCACGGCAAAATGTGTTGATGGACTATGGGAGAAACTTACTAATTGTGTGCCAGGTAAAAAAATTTTAATATTTAAATTGTGTTAGAAATGTATTTGGATTAATCAGATAGCAGAAACCGATCAAGTCGAGGTTCGGCCCTCTCGGGCGCCATTGAATCGGAATGCTTAACGCGTATTGAGTGACAGGCCAAGCCGAGGTTCCCTCTCGGTGGCCCTTGTGCCTAGTCACTCCATGGAACGTCCACCGAAGCGATCTAAGAGCTCGGTGGCCTTCCGGTAATAATAACGAAGTAACGGCCCTCGAGCTCAGTTACTCATAAACGAGGTTTAGGCTAAGCGCCATCTGCGCGCCACCTCAAGCCCGGTAAATCTGTAAATGCCTCTTCAAGGCAAACAGTGGCCATTCAGTCACAAAAAAAAAATATTTGGATGTATAGAGTTTGTTATGGAGAATAATAGATCTCTCAGTTATGTCTAGACATATGTTGACGAGCGGTCGCCCGCGACTTTATCCGTGAATACGAAAAAAGACAAACGTAAAAAGTAGCACATATGTTCGTCTAGATTGTCCTTTGCATCTAAACCAAATTTCTTCGAGATTCAGCATTTTAGACTGCAATATAACAAACATCCATACTTACGCATTTATAATATTAGTAAGATAGGGTTGTGATATACGATCTTGAGCCAATAAAATTAACGAATAGTTTAAAGTAGCTGGGAAACCGGCTTTTAACTAAATAATTTTAGATAAGATTTCTAATCTATCAATTTGAGATATTAAGGGCCTGTCCCACCACTGGCTAATATGGCTCCAGATAGCTTAATGACGTCACTGTCAGAGGAAACAAAATCCGATATTTTACATGTTGGATTTAAAGACAATTTAAAATTTGGTGGGACAGGCCCTCAAACATTTAATTTGTTCAACAGAATGCGGTACACTAGTACCGAAAAGTATCCCATTAATAACGGGGGGTAAAACTGCCAAAAGGGGGGAGTTGTCTTGGCATGTAGGCATTTATGACATAACGAAGGAATACAAATACATTTGTGGTGGTTCGATTATAAGGCGGAGCACCATTGTCTCTGGTAAGTGTTATTTTTTTATTATTACTAGCTGTAGCTCGCGACTTCGCCCGCGCGAAATTAAGAAATAACTACATAGCCTATGTTACACAGATAAATTACCTTTCTATAGGTGATTTTTTTTTAAATCAGTAAAGTAGTTACGTAAAAATCTTTATTATTACTGTAGACTAGCCGTTGCTCGCGACTTTGTCCATGTGAAATCTGATCTGATCATGTAGCTTGTTAACGGAGAAAGAATTTTTAAAATCGTTCCAGTACTTTTTTAAGTAATTTCAATACGTACAAAAATACAAATCTTTCCTCTTATAACATTAGTAAGGATTGTTGAAATAACTCAAAAACTACTAGGCCGATATAAATTCATTCACCATTAAAAAGCTACATGATCATATCAGAATTTACGTGGACAAAGTCACGAGCAACAGCTAGTTCAAATTTTTTGTAAATAGTATTAAAAGTAGCTTGATCCATCTTATTTTTAATTTCGAATTCGCCCAAAAGATGGAGCTAATTTATAAAATGAAATAAAAACTCCAACGGAGGAAAACTATTATATTCTAGTGGTACAGTAACTGCAGTCTTCAGAATTTATGTCAAACGAGCTGTTGCCCGCGACTTCATCCGCGTGGTATTCGAAAACATACAAACTATATAAATTAGCTAATAATAATTAATAAGCTACGTATCCCTCGGGAACCGGACATTTCTCGGGGATAAACCTTATCCCATGTGTACTCCAGACTTGGTTTTATATCTGTGCCAAATTTCAATAAGATATGTTGAACCGCTGCAGAATGATCGAGTAAACATTAAAAAACTAAATTAATGAATCCCACGGGAACCGTAACTATTCCCGGGATAAAAAGTAGCCTATGTGTTCTTCCAGACTATGCTCTAAACCTGTGCCAAATTTCATGGAGATCCGATCAGCCGTTTAGGCTACAAACGCTAACAAACATCCATCCATCCATCCATCTAAACTTTCGCATTTATAATATTAGTAAGATAACCATGTTTGTCCTCTTCACTTCATTTTTGCTCGACTTTCCAATTTTTTGTATAGCCTGCACTTTGCCGCTTTTTTAGTTGTCTTATATAGTTATTTACACCTTATCACCAGCTCACTATACGTCCCCAAAGAGGGGCTTGGAGCCTACCCTAAGTTAGTGACTAGGACATAGTCAACCTGCACTGCGGGTTGACTTCACACAAATATCTTTGAATATCTTCACCGATATGCATCACGATGTTTACCTTCACCGTAAGAACGTTGGGTAAATTGTACATATAAAAATCACGTTGGTACAGCGGCATTCGAACAAGACCTGTAGATTAAAAGTCAAGTGCATTTATATCTACTTCTAACTAACTAAATTAATAAAACTAAATTTCCCAGCTGCTCATTGCTTCTATGACGTTAACACTGAGCGTACAAAGCCAGCGGAAAATTACGCAGTAGCTGCCGACAAGATTTATCCTAACTGGAATGACACGAGAGATCTTTATGTCGTTAAAAGATTTGTGAGTATAATAAAGCAAACAGTTATCATTTTTTCGAAGTCTAGCTGTCCAAATATAAAAAAATATAAGCTATACCTTTCCAGGCTACATTTTAAACAGCAATATCTGTTGATTCTTTTTGCAGTTACGTTTAATTCAACCCAACCGAATTCATGCAATTTTAATACAGCGCCATCTATTTTCACAAAAACATAACTAACCAAATATTTTTAACCATTCCAGGTAAAAAATATCTACATACCAACGACATACAGACACGCAGATAACAGCCATCAGGATGACATAGCTTTGCTAATTGTAGACCAGCCGTTTGAATATTCTGCGCACATACGACCGGTCTGTCTAGATTTAGATTTAACATTTGAAATGAAGCATTTAAAACCTGGGAATATGGGCAAGGTATACACATTTATTTATATTAACTGGCAAACTCGCAAGCGGCTTGAATCCGCCGAAATGGATCGCTGCACACAGACATCCGCAATTGCAGATGCGTGGAAAAGGAAAAGGGACTAAAATGAGGCCTCCGGCACCACACTCATCAGAATGTACAACAGTGGTAGAGCCCGCTTTAACATCTGAGCACTGCAGGGCTCGCCCCAGCAATACCACGACCACACAGAAGAAAGGCGTGAAGTGGAAGCAATTCCATGTTTCGTATGAAGAGTGTGGTGCCGGAGGCCTAATTTAAATCCCTTTCTCTTTACCACCCTTTTCTTATAAGGAGAGGATGGGAAGGGAAAGTGGATTTGACGGTGGAGGAGATGCATAGGAAGGGGCAATATCCTCTTTATGTGCGTCTCCTCCTCCGGCGGATAAGGGTAGGCAATGCATCTGCGATCGCGGATGTCTATAGGCAGGGGTCGCTTCGCCATTTTAGCGGCTTCAGGTGGAAGCTTGCTCGTTTGCCACCTTATGTTATAAAAAAAAATGTACATGGAATTGCTTCCACTTCACGCCTGTCTTGAGTGGTCGTGGTATTGCTGGGAAGAGCCCTACAGTACGAACAAGTCGAAGCTGGCTCTAACGTTTCGAATACATTATCTTTTATGTTGTTACATTGCTCTGTAAATGACCGCAAGCAATAAATACTGAAGCATTTTGTTTTGTTTTGTTCAAAATGACTGATTGACAAACAATTTTAAGTTAAAGAGGTTGCGTACTTTAAGTTTGGGCTCTGGAACTTATTTTTTGGAAGTTCTATATTTATGTTGACACTTAATTTTGAGGATCTATCAATAGATGGCGTTACTTATGTGAAATATTCCAAGTGAAGAGTATGCTTTATATGTTTTGGTTATCTACTTATACGAATAATGAAGTTATTTTTTTTTTTTTGTAAAAAAGGTCGCCGGTTGGGGGATGATAGATACGTCAGGGGTTGCATCTGATGTGCTAAAAGTTGTCGAACTGCCAGTGGTGGATGTAGACACGTGCTGGGAACGAGCGCCATTCGATTTCAGAAGTCATATAACCTCAAATACATTTTGCGCGGGATATTATAATGGTAAGAATAAGAACAGAATTACAAACAAAAATACATCTATACTAATATAATAAAGCTTAAACACACACTATTTTCTCGCGTAGGATGTCAGCATTCAAAGTATTTTTTTGAATAATCCTTTCTTTATTCAAAGATAACCTGCAGAACCATTACAAATAATGAGAGTATATAAATATTTATTACTACTACAGCCGTACGTAATCGAATTGGATTTCGTTATTATTTCTGTCATCGCTAAATTCTCTACACCATAATCAATACTAGAATTGTCCTCTAAATTAGTTAATAAGAAAATAATAATTTTAGTTGAGTTCGATAATTATTTAAACCGAATATCGATAGTTCATAATTGTTCGCTGCGTGTTTCGTCACTGCGATACCTGTCTAAGTGCGGCATTTTTCATACAAATTGAATTCGATACTTCATATGCGTCATTTATCAAACTAATCTTTATTTTGACAAACTATAACTCCGCTTTTATGGAAACTGTCTCTTTTTTAGGTACAGCGCTCTGTGAAGGCGACAGCGGAGGTGGATTGACATTCCCTTCAACAGAATCGACAACTATACGATATTATTTACGTGGTATTGTGTCAACTTCACCCCCAGCGCCTGACCAGGCAGCATGCAATGCGTTCACTCCCACCATATTCACTAAAGTGACATCACAAGCGGCTTTTTTACGTGAATTTTTATATGAGGAATATTAAAAGTTTCAAATTTTAACAGTAGAGCCCGCTTTTACATCTCCGCACGAATGGGCCGGCTCGCCCGGTGTCATACCACGACCACACAGAAAACTGGCGTCAAGTGGACGCAATTCCGCGTTTCGTCTGATGAGTGTGGTGCCGGAGGCCCAATTTTTAGTCCCTTTCCCGTCCCACCTTTTTCTTATAAGGGAAGGATGGGTAAGTGGATTTGACGGTGGAGGAGACGCATAGGAAGGGGAAATATCCTCTTTATGTGCGTCTCTTCCTCCGTCAATTTAGGGTAGGCAACGCACGTCTATGGGCAGTGGTCGCTTCGCCATTTTGGCGGATTTAGGTGGCCGCATGCTCGTTTGCCACCTTTTTGTATAAAAAAATAATAGTATAAGCGCGGAAATACGCGGTATCCGCTTAGTATCAACTAATCAGATATCAGTGAGTGCAAACGAAGGGAATAATAAAAAGAAACTATTCTTGTATCACAAATAATAATATACTGTCGTTAACTAAATATGTAAAATTATAAATAAATCCTATTCCCACAAGAACCGTGTTTTATTCACTATTTATCCATACTTTCTACTAATACTAGCTGTTCCCGTGCGGCGTCATTCGCATGAAATTAAAAAAAAATATTTAATTTTTTTACATTTGTCAAATTATCAATTGCAAATGTCAAAATGACATGACCTTGGCGATCTTGCTTCCTTGATGTTGGCAACAACTTATGGTCTCTTTCCCACATTATGGTTTTTATCCAAAATATTTATCCCCTAAGTTTAATGGCGTGAAAATATACAGCCTAAAGCGTGACGTAAGTGTAGGGCTTTTTATTAAAAAAAAGAGTTATTCAAAAATATGGTGTAATTGCTGACATCTTAGGTAACAAAGAAGTGTGTGTTTACGCTTTATTATAATAGTATAGATTATAAATGCGAAAGTTTAGATGGATGGTAGACTTTGCGACCTAAACTGCTTAACGGATTTCGATGAAATTTGGTATAGATGTAGAGGATAGTCTGGAACAACACATAGGCTCACTTTTGTTTTTTTTTAATTGGCCGCAGACGAAACTGCGGGCGAAAGTTAGTAAAATTAAAAGGTGGAAATTTTATTGTATACTAGCTTTCTCACGGGACGCCGTTCGCGAGGAATTAAAAACAAAACAAACGTGTGTAGCCTATGTGTTCTTCCGGACTACTCTACGTCTATGACCTTCAGCGAGAACATTCCAGCAGTTTAGGCTACAAACATCCATCCATCCATCTAAACTTTCGCATTCACAATATTAGTAAAACAGAAATAGCGTCCAATCTTCCAAATTAGGTAAAGCGCCATCTGTTTGCTTAAATTCATAACATTATTCAACCAATATAAATTGAGCTATTATATATACATCAAATGCTTTTATTCCAATTATTTAGGAAGTGACATCAAAGGATGTTAAAATAAAAACAATTCTTAATTAAAAGTAATTTATTTTCTAAACAATAAACAATATTTGAAGATTTCAAGATTTGATTTCCCCTCAATAGAAGTGGATACAAAATGTGGATGACAATACCAAAGAGTACTGTAACCTATACTTCTATACTATTATAATAAAGCGTAAACACACACTTCTTTGTTGCCTAAGATGTCAGCAATTACAACATATTTTTGAATCATTCTCTTTTTAATAAAAAGCCCTACACTTACGTCACGCTTTAGGCTGTATTTTCACGCTATTAAACCTAGGTTTAATAGCAACGTAAAATGGGGTAAAAATTTTGGATAAAAACCCTAATGTGGGAAAGAGACAAGCTGCTGGCAACATCAAGGAAGCAAGGTTGTCATCATGTCATGTCATCTTGACATTTGCAATTGAATTGGACAAATGTAAACAATAAAATAAAATGTTCATAATTTCATTCAGATGAAGTCTCACGGGAACAGCTAGTAGAAATGGAAAAACAGAGGACAATCATGAAATATATCACAATAAAGTAGCAAGCGCCATATTGCAGCTACTTTTAGCGCACAAAACTTGGAATTTTTCTTACAAACAGCAATCTTGAGGCATTGTCAGGTTTACAATTTGCCTAATGGCAGAGGCCGTTCACCGTTTGTCGGGAACGAACCGTGTATTCCCGCGTATCGATTACATTGCCGACCTAATTACAGCAACCCCTCGCGTGAGACATGCAAATAACTGGCATACTTGAATGCTACTGGCACGTGTTAACCGCATGTGAACGCTAACACGTGTTTGATTTATATGTATACTGGCTGTTACCCGCGACTTCGTCCGCGTGGTATTAGAAAACATACGAACTATATAAATAACAAAAAGCTACGTATCCCTCGGGAACCGGACATTTTTCGGGGATGAGTATCCCATGTGTACTCCAGACTTTGTGTTATATCTGTGCCAAATTTCAATAAGATATGTCGAACCGTTGCGGAATTATTGACTGAACATTAAAAAACTAAATTAATAGATCCCACGGGAATCGTAACTATTCCCGGGATAAAAAGTAGCCTATGTGTTCTTCCAGACTATGCTCTAAACCTGTGCCAAATTTCATAGAGATCCGTTCAGCCGTTTAGGCTACAACCTAACAAACATCCATCTAAACTTTCACATTTATAATATTAGTAAGAAAGTAAGACTAGTAAGACTATTAAACCAGCGTTCGCCCGCGACTCCGTCCGCGTGGAATAAAAAAAAAGTGAGTAGCCTATGTCTCCTCTACATCTACATGTATGTCTCTATGCCACATCGAAATCCGTTCAGCAGAAGGCAACAGACATCCATACATCTATCGAATTCGCATTTATAATATTAGTACGAGGTATACGTTTTGGATTACGATAAAAAATGATACATTTACTAAATTTTATTTAATTACAGAACAAAATACTAATGTTAACAAAAAAATCAAGTTACTAGATGAACTTTTTCCCCTTTTTTTGGTTATTCTTGTCTCAGTCATGTTTCTGCCAACCCAATCTACCTCTTCCCAGTACTATCATGACCATGTCGTCACCACCCTGAGGGTGGGGGGAGACGCGCGCTGAGCGTTTCCTAGGAGTGTCTGAAAATCACATAATTATTCATAATTCACAAAAGTACATAGTCATTATTAACTTGAGAATACAATTCATAAGATTTTTTTATAATATAAGGTGGCAACCGAGCAAGCGGCCACTAGAATCCGCTAAAATGGCGAAATGACCGCTGCCCATAGACATCCGCAATTGCAGATGCGTTGCCTACCCTTATACGACGGAGGAGACGCATATAAAGAGGATATTTCCCCTTCCTATGCATCTCCTCCATCGTCAAATCCACTTCCCCTTCCCATCCTCTCATAAGAAAAGGGCGGTAAAGAGAAAGGGACTTAAATTAGGCCTCCGGCACCACACTCATCATACGAAACACGGAATTACTTCCACTTCACGCCTGTCTTCTGTGTGGTCGTGGTATTACACCGGGCGTGACAGCCCATTCGGTTTTATAATCCAACGATTCCAATTTCTACGAGAAGAATAAAAATCTAAAAAGAACTTACTCCCACTCCTTTGTTGACGCTAAGTGTGCGAGGAGGACGCACTATACGCCCGGCGCAGGAGAGAGCAGGACGACAATAGCACGTGCAGTACCGCTAACGACGAGTATATGATCGCCTGGTACTTTTGAATCCATATTGTTATAGTTTCTTGACAATTCTTGAAAAACCCGTTAAAAGTGAATTAAAAATAAATGGAGGAATTAATTTCTTTGTTATTTAAGTTGGTAAAATCGATATAAAGCGGTCCTGTGATAAAATTTTCATTATGCCCGGTTTCTTACGTAACTTTACATTTGTTAAGGCCTGTCCCACCAAATTATAAATTGTCTGAAAACCTAACGTGTAAAAATGTGACGGAAATATCAGATTTTGTTCCCTTATAGTGACGTTATTATCTGGGCCTCTATCAGCTAGTGGTGGGAAAGGCCTCTAGTGTTTTTGTTTGTTAAATTCTGTTTTACGTTAAAACATAAGTCAATCTAACTCAGGTTCAGAAATACATTAGTTAATTAAAATTAATTTTAGTTTAATCAAACCTTAGTGTAGCTCTTATCTGCAGTACAATTACTTGGGTAACCTTCGCTGCCACAACACGACCATGGAGGCTGAATATGTTCTGCACTGGAATAAAAAAAAAATTACTTTACACCATTGATCTATATAAATGGATAGATATTTGCTTGGAATAAATACATTTTACTTCGATCCAACTTAGCGTATAGATGTTAATGATTTTAGACAAAATAATTTTAATTATTCTACAGTAACTAGTTTTCGCCCCCGACTTCGTCCAAGTGAAATTAAAAAAAGTGAGTAGCTTATGCGTTCCAGACTAACTACAGCATCTCCAAATTTCTTCGAAATTCAGCCGTTTAGGCTACAAATTCTTACAAACATCCTTCCATCCATCTTTCGCATTACAATATTAAGGGCCTGTCCCACCATTGGCTGATAGAGGCCCAGATAACTTAAAAGTGATGTCACTGTCAGAGAGTACGAAAATCCGATATTCCCATCACATTTTATACGTTGGATTGCTATCAGACATTTTACAAGAATAATGGGACAGGCCCTTAATTAAATAAGTAATATAAGTGTATTAAGTATGAGTACGATTATAATAAGTTAACTTAAATAACTAGCAACAAATAGAAGAAAAAAAAATTATCTTAGTATAATATTATAAATGCGAAAGTTTAGATGGATGGATGTTTGTTAGCGTTTGTAGCCTAAACAGCTGAACGGATCTCCATGAAATTTGGCACAGGTTTAGAGCATAGTCTGATAGAAGACATAGGCTACTTTTTATCCTGGGAATAGTTACGGTTACCAAGGGATTCATTAATTTAGTTTTTTAATGTTCATTCGATCATTCTGCAACGGTTCAACATATCTTATTGAAATTTGGCACAGATATAAAAGTCTGGAGTACACATGGGATACTCATCCCCGAGAAATGTCCGGTTCCCGAGGGATACGTAGCTTTTTGTAATTTATATAGTTCGCATGTTTTCTAATACCACGCGGACGATGTCGCGGGCAACAGCTTGTATATTTATATATGTAACTACTTACGTATAATTGTCACAACAACGAAATGCAAGCCTCAATACGTGAGTTATATGACCATCATTTACTTGGATTCCCTTCTGAAAATCAAATTAAATATATATTTGAATACCAAACTAATTCGCATAATTCTTAACACCGCCATCTATCGGCCAAGGCATTGATTCAAAACCTTAAAATGTTAAATTCTATTTTTATACTCACCTCTATTATATTTGAAGTATAATAGAAGATGAGTGCACATTCCAATAGCAAGAGGAGAAACACAAGGATTGAGTACTGGAATAAAAGAAATCATTGATTATTTTTGAGTGAAAACACACGCCGTTGACTAAAATATCGCACAACTCGATTATTGTACAGAAATAGTTGAATTGGCTGAGAGACATTTGACAATCGAACTATTTAGTCAAAGATACCCGTATGCTTCAAGTAACTGAATGTTTAAATTAAAAAAATAAACTGAAAACTGAATTCGATTCTCCTATGTTTGAAGTCTCATTCGATTCATTTACTTCAATCTATTTTATATCATAAGGTGGCAAACGAGCAAGCGGCCACATGAATTCGCGGAGAAAAAAAAGCGATCGCTGCCCATATACATTTGCAATAGCAGAAGCGTTACCTAGCCTTAACGGAGAAGGATACGCCCATAGAGAGGATATTTCCTCTTCCTATGCGTCTTCTCCGTCAAATACACTTTTCCTTCCCATCTTTACCTGTTTACAAAAGGGTGGGAAGGAAAAGGGTCTAAAACTGGGCCTCCAGTCTCTGGAAATCGACGTTTAGAGCTGGTTACTTCACTATAAAGGTTATAGTTTGTGACTTACCATAAATAATAGAAACTGTGAACATTTTATCGCACCATACAATCCCATCAGAGATATAAAGAAAAAGAATATAGCCAGCAGAGATAATGCTATTCCTAATTGAACGTCCAGAAACTCTCTTGGGAATAGAACCTGAAAAAAAATCACCAACTCAATATACGTTTCCACTGATGGTGAGTCTACCCTTATAGTTTGTCTAAATAAGATAGATTACTCTGACAATTTATATGATAACTAGCTTTCGCTCTCGATTCCGTCCGCGAGGAATTAAAAAAAATCAAAAGCAAGTGACCTATGTGTTCTTCCAGACTATCACACATCTATGCCAAATTTCATCGAGATCCGTTCAGCCGTTTAGGCTATAAACTCTAACAAACATCCATCCATCCATCGTAACCTTCGCATTTATAATATTTATAAGATTAGTAAGATTTTACAGGGATAGTTCATAATTGTTCGCTGCGTGTTTCGTCACTGCGATACCTGTCTAAGTACGGCATTTTTCATACAAATTGAATTCGATACTCCATATACGTCATTTATCAAACTAATCTTACTAATACTAATATTATAAATGCGAAAGTTTAGATGGATGGATGGATGATGTTTGTTAGCGTTTGTAGCCTAAACGGCTGAACGCATCTCCATGAAATTTGGCACAGGTTTAGAGCATAGTCGGGAAGAACACATAGGCTACTTTTTATCCCGGGAATAGTTACGGTTCCCGTGGGATTCATTAATTTAGTTTTTAAATGTTTACTCGATGATTCTGCAACGGTTCAACATATCTTATTGAAATTTGGTACAGATATAAAACAAAGTCTGGAGTACACATGGGTTGAGCTTCATCCCCGAGATATGTCCGGTTCCCGAGGGAAACGTAGTTTTTTGTAATTTCTATAGTTTGTATGTTTTCTATTACCATGCGTACGAAGTCGCGGGCAACAGCTCGTCTATCTTATTTAGACAAACTATAGTCAGTCAACCACGTTTATTCACACTATATCTTTGAGTTTCTTTACCACTATGCATCATGATGTTTTCCTTCACAATAATGTAGGGTATATTATGTAACAAAAAATTCTAAAATCACATTGGTAGACGATTTCGACTCCAAGGCTAAATCAATGCTTAGACCGCACGAACACCTTTGACTAAAGTATCGCACAACTGTATGATTTACAGTTGATTTTCAACCGCTTTGATTCTTATCTATACTCCATATTAATGTTTTAAAGAGAAAAGATTTGTATTTTTGTATGTATTGAAATAACTCAAAAACTACTGGGCCGATCTTAAAAATTCTTTCACCATCAGAAACGTAATTTATCTGTGAGTAACATAGGCTATATTTTATTATTACTAATGTTGAGGAACTATTAATAAACAACATATTTCTGGACCAGGGCGTTAAAAAATCTCATTGTTTTCTCGGCTTACGTTACCTAAACCGTTACAGATATATACAATTTTATGGCGGTCACACTCCTCAATGTTTAGTTGGGCAATTAAAAAGTTGAATTGGCTGACAATCGCACAGTTGTGCGATAGTTTAGTTTTATATGTGCTCACATAAACTAAATGTGTTCTATAAATAGCTACTAGCTGTTTGCTTGCGGCTTTATCCGCATGAAAATATGAAAAATTTTACTGTTTACATTTGTCAAATTATTATTTGCAAATGTCAAAATAACATGACAAACCATAGCGACCTTGCTTCCTTGATGTTGGTAGCTTGGAGTTTATGGTCCCTTTCCCATGTTAAGGTTTTTCCAATTTACCCCTTAGTTTAACAGCGTGAAAATGTATAGCCTAAAGCGTGTAAGTGTACTGCTGTTTATTAAAAACCAGCTGTTCCCATGCGACTTCATCCGCAAAAAAATCTTTTTATTGTTCACATTTGTCAAATTGATAGAAATTGTCAAAATGACATGACATGATGTCAAGCCTTGCGTCCTTGATGTTGGTAACAACTTATGGTCTCTTTCCCACATTAGGGTTTTTATCCAAAATATTTACCTCTAAGTTTAACGGCGTAAAAATATATAGCCTAAAGCGTGACGTAAGTGTAGGGCTTTTTACTTAAAAAAGAATTATATAAAAATATGCTGTAATTGCTGACATCTTAGGCAACAAAGAAGTGTGTTTACGCTTTATTATAATAGTATAGACAAATATCGACAGTCTATGACACATTAACCTAGATATTCTAATAAAAGATGATTTCTATGATATCACAAACGATTACCAACATTATAATATTGAGGGTAATTGCCATGTCATATCCGTTTGTAACATCGAAGAACAATTTTATTCTGTCAATATTGTGAGCATGTCTTACTATAGTTTGTCTAAATAAGATAGTTTGATAAATGACGCATATGAAGTATCGAATTCGATTTGTATGAAAAATGCCGTACTTAATAGACAGGTATCGTAGTAAAACAAACACGCGGCAATTATGAACTATCGATATTCGGTTTAAATAATTATCGAGCTCAACTAAAATTATTTTGTTATTAACTAATTTAGAAGACAATTCTAGTATTGATTATAGTGTAGAGAATTTAGTGACGACAGAAAAAATAGCGAAATCCAATTCCATTACGTTCGACTGTAGTAGTAAACATTTATTTACTCTCATTATTTGTTATGGTTATTATTAATTTGAGAAAACAGTGTTTTTTTTATTGTATAAGTTATCTTAAATCTATCGATTACAACTTCTATAAGAATAAAAATCGAAAATCGATAAGATTCATGACTGATTACACAACCCATCCCTACTAAATTTGAAATGAATTGTCAAACTAATCTATTTTATTTAGACAAACTATAATAAAATATTCTTTTTATTATTTCAAGCGGATGATGCCGCACGGAATTGCTAATTCTTAAACAAAAATGAATATATTTGAACATTTACTGTACATTATTTTAAATTGTTGTCATCGAGTCCCGGAGAACGAACATAACTATACCTTGATAATAGGAGTTCCGTAAGCTTGGATGTAAAATATAATTGTATTTGGTGAGGAAATAATCCACAGACCTAATGCAAATAACATACTGCAGAATATCTGAAACAAATATAACAATTAAGGATAGGCTAGTTCCAAATTTAAAATTGCTTTGTTTTCCTGTTAAGTGGGCGGCCAGTGAACCAATCAGGGAACGATGTAATATTTACGACGCGCGACTCGGCGTTAGCGCGAGAAAAATGTATTCCTTTCCGGACTTTGTATTTTAATCGAACATATTGTTTCCTGATTATCATTCCTTTTTAGGCATATTTAATTAATTGTTTATGAGATGCACCAAAAAGGCAAAGATAAATTAACTCTTACTTTTTATATTTCTTAAAATCTTATTTTTTTTTATAACATAAGGTGGCAAACGAGCAAGCGGCCAGAATCCACCAAAACGGCGAAGCGACCACTGCCCATAGACATCCGCGATCGCTGATGCGTTGCCTACCCTTATCCGACGGAGGAGGAGACGCACATAAAGAGGATATTGCCCCTTCCTATGCATCTCCTCCACCGTCAAATCCACTTCCCCTTCCCAACCTCTCCTTATGAGAAAAGGGTGGTAAAGATAAAGGGACTTAAATTAGGCCTTCAGCACCACACTCATCAGACGTAACACGGAATTGCTTCCATTTCTCGCCTGTCTTCTGTGTGGTCGTAGTATTACACCGGGCGTCCCGGCCCATTCGTGCTAAGATAAAGCGGGCACTGCCACTGTCAAATTAAAACGTGTTAACATTTTTATGGTATATGAACTTTTAATTCCTTTTTCTTGCTATCACATGTATGTAACAAGCCTTGAATAAGCAAAGAGTAAGAAATCACACCTGAAACTAAATTATCGCACAACTGACTAGTCTCTTTTCTATAAGCTTAAATGAAGCACACACTACTCGATTCGTTGTAACTAAACAGTTGAAAGCTGCAAAACAATCGACAATCGCCAGTTGTGGGACAGTTTAGTCGGACATGCACATTTTAAAACTTCGAAATTTAAAAAAAGTAACAAGACCTTAAGAAACATTGTAAAGAAATATAAAGACTCCTCACTTTAAAAAATACTCGACGATAGTTCAGTGAGGTACGAGTTTTTTTCTATTACAAACTATTATCTTGACTACTGTTAGGAATAAAATTAGTACCGTGCTATAGAATGGGGATGTTTCCTAATTTTTGGAATAGCCTTTATTTTGTAGATAAACCATGTATGAACACGAAAAAAAAAGTATAAAAAATAATACTCATTATTTCAATAAAAAACACGTAAATAAAAACAACTCTTTCATTTCCCCCCAAAACGTCCCATGACGTCACTTCTTTGCATAAGAACCTCGCGTCACGGCCTGTCACTGTCAATTTGAAAGAACCATTGATTGATAATACTCGTAAATCTTTGTTGTCTAAAGTTGTTTTTAGTAATGGAGATAAAAATGAAAAAACCAAAATGAACAGAAGGTGATACTTTTAACGTATTAATTACACTTGTTGCTTCTCGTGGAAGATTATGTTTGTGTGTAAACAGTGACTGCGTCCTACACCAGTGTGACCAGGTATAAATTAAATTGTACTATAAGCTACACTTATGAATTTTGATATATTTTTCTTTTGTAATATTCATAAAATGTTTTGCTCATAACTTATATCGTAATTATAAAAACACTCAATAATGGAGTCCTCATAATATAAAACACGCAAACTCAATTATTACAATCATTTAGAAAAAAATATAACTACAAAATGCACTGACATTCACTGAAGTTGGTCACACTGCCATGTTATATGCAAGAAAGTGACGTCATTGGTGTTTGAGATCGAGTAATGGAGGGTAAAAAATATTGCAGCGTTTTTAATTTATATTTAATTTGAGACAAACATTCAAGGTCTCTAAATGTTATTATAGGTTATAAAATGCTGTCTTTAAAATATTAAACATAACTTTATTTGGATTTGTAACATTAGGAAACATCCCCATTGGTGCAACTCTATATTATCGGCATAAACGTCACGTCCCTAGCTGACAGCTGTCAATGTCACTAGAAGTATGGATAGATTGGAGCGCAACCTGAATCCTAGCGAGAAGTGTTGCTCTGAGTTTAAAGCGACAGTATCAATTAAATAAGTTGTCTAAAACTTCTAAATACGGCGCCCACTTTTTACCATTTAGTTAGCTTATAGGCTAAATTCGCAGATCCTATCAAATTAAAGTCCCTAGGAATCCTAATATATCGTTAATTACTTACCATAAAAAGTAAATTAGTAGATATTAGTATAGCTGCTGCTACACGAGAACCTTTATTCTTTCCCATATTAGTAACTGAAATAAAATAATTATTAGAGTAGCTTTATAACCTAATTTGTGTGCTTTCTGGAATTCGTTTAACCTGTGACCGCAACCTTATTTCCACGTGGTATATGTCTCTTTCTAATATTTGACAAAAGAACGAGACAGGAAATACGTGACGTGACGTATGAAAAAGCTTGGTAATTATTTAACAAAAGGGTCGATGAAATTGCTAATTTATTATTTAAAAGAGACTTTGTAATTTTTTTATTAGACGCGTCAGGGTTCATTGTACTTATTACTTGTTAATGTTGCAATAATGCGACTCAATTCCGAATTATAAGGAAAATAAAAATAAACATAACAAATAAAAAAATAAACATAATTTTAGTTTTTACTACAACATAAAAGTTGTGCAGCCTAAAACACAAAAGAGATCATTTATAAGAATTATAAATAAATATTAAAACTTTATACAAATAAATATCGTGTTTAAAAATTATTTAAAACCATCATCAATGTAACCTTTTAACAGATATTAAAAAGTTTCTGAACGTCACTAACAATTTCCCGCCCTTAGAACTCTATCGAACATTTCCCGCGAAAGCTTTTATTTCTTTTAAATACCGAGCGCGTCGCGACGTCGTCGAGTCATACATCCAACTGAGTAAAGATTAAACAGAACTGCAGCAAAGCGAAATCCGTGACCTAATAAAAATGTTTGTATTAGAGAGCGCATTCATCCTATTATGTTGTCTAATATATTAACATGAATTGTCTGTGTATAACTACTAGTTAATATTCCAATTACATTGTATTCTATCCAGGAATCACTATATTTACTTAACTTATATGGTCTAAGATAATTAAAACTATGACAATCATTGAATTAACTGCTAATTAGTCGTATCCTTTTTTCATGTCTTTTTCATTAAGATTACAATTTTCACTTTAACGGCATTGTTAACTTATAGACTAATTAAATATGTGTAAAAACGTAAATATATGTAGTAAACAGAGATAAAAAAGATGTGACTAATTCCCCTGTAAGGAATAAAAAGCAGAATAAAACTAACATAATACAGAGAAAGTTTGGATCAAGACAGAAATAAATCAGAAATATACATTTCGAGCTGCATTCACAACATGCAATTACGAATAAGAGCGACATTTTTGCAAAAGTGTTAGTTAGATGAAAAGCTTTTTACCCTTCTAGATATTTTAATTTTGAAAAAATTGTTTGATGTATGGCGATTTTTAATCTGTGTCCTATGCATTATCTGTATCCCATAATTTCTACTCTTTGCTTTGCATACTTTGACAATGACAATTTGACAACTTGTCTTGCTCTTTGATAATAGTGCGGTAAAACTAGAATTGCGCCAAATTAAACGAAAAACAATTAATTTTCAAATAATATCCATCAATATCTACAGCTAAATAAGAAATCCGCATAGAAAACAGAACAGTGAATTAATTCATATCAATATTTCGATGATATTTTATAACAATGGACATGAAGTCTGCTAATATCAAAGGCAAAGGTAAGTACCTGACGATAAAATGTTCTAAAAAAACTTAATTAGTGCTGTTAAATGCTAATTTTCGTATCGTAAATTATTATTATAGACCACCAATACTTGCCAAAGTAAAAATTATTTTTGTTCTTTCCAGATAAGCTTAAGGAAATTAAATCACAGGATTGGGTAAGTCAGGTTTCTTTAATTTTTTTAATATTTACCTTACTATAATAGAACCCTAATTATATAAATTATTTAAGAATTTATGTCAAATTTCACATTCATGCATTCCGGCAAATTCCATACATTACTAAATATGTTAATTACAAGTTTAATGTTTACTTGTGTTATAATTAATTTAAAAATAACTTAAACACTCTTTTTTAAATCTTACTAATATTATAAATATGGATAGAAGGGAATGACTGAGATGACATATGATAGAGTTATTTGGAGGACAAAAACCTTGTTGTGCCGACCCGAGAGTAGGATAAATAGGATGATAATATAAATGAGATGGATATTTGTTAGTTTAAACTTCTGAACATATCTTGATGATTTTCATAGATGTAGAGGATAGTCTGGAACAGATAGGCTATTAATTTTGTTTCTCTTAATTCCATGTAGGCAAAACTAATGTATACTAATATTATAAATTATACCGAAACGCCGTAAGACGCCGTTCAAAGATACGTGTGAAGTCAACCAACCCGCACTTGGCCAGTGTGGTTGACTATGGCCTAGTCACCCCGTATTAGGGTAGGCTCCGAGCCCCTCGGTGGCGACATAGAGTGAGCTGGTGATGATGATGATGGTGATGCCGTAAGCGTAGGTTTTTAGTAATTAAAATTGCGGATGTCTATGGGCAGTGGTCGCTTCGCCATTTGGCAGATTCAGGTGGCCGCTTGTTTGCCACCTTATGTTATAAAAATATTTTTCCTACTGTTTTCGATGCCCATGATACAGGCATTGCCTAGTGTAGGCATCACCAGATTAATCGTATATTAACCACAATTTGTATTTATCTTTTGATTGGTTATGACTGTAATTGTTAATCTGTTATTTTACAATAGAATTATATCTGTCTCTATTTTAAAAGGGAAAAAATGTTGTATGTATTGAAATAAATCAGAAACTACTGGACTGGCTTCAAAAATTCTTTTACCATAAAACAGATAATTTATCTCTGAGTAATAATTACAATAATGAATTCTTAAAACCAACATCTTAAGCTCTCGCTAGACAGATTAAGGGCCCAATTCAAAAGCTATTTTAGAAACCGCATGCACAGTGAAGAGGTTCCTGTCTCTGCAGCCCTGACTACTGGTTGCTTGACATTGGATTCCGCAGCCAGTGGTGTTATATTTTTTATCTAATATGTTTTATTTAATTTTTTAATACAAATTATGGTTAATATATCATATGCTAGCTGTCGTCTGCGTGAAATAAAAAAAAAACAAAAGTATGTAGCCTATGTGTTCTTCCACACTGTATTCTACCACTTCCACTTGTATCCACACCACTTCCATGTATAGGATACATCTATACCAAATTTCATCGAAATCCGTTTACCCCTTTTGGCTACAAACTCCAACAAACATCCATCTAAACTTTCGCATTTATAATATTAGTATGATAAAATAAGAAATAAAGATATGCCGAAATAAATAATAAATATATACTTTATTTCGAGCTACACATTATTAAAATGAGCGTCGGTGGCTCAGTGGTTTGAACACTTGACTTGTAATCTACAGGTCTTGGGTTCGAATCCCGCCATGTACCAATGTGATTTTCGATTTCTCGAATTTTCATATGTACATAATTTACCCGACGTTCTTACGGTGAAGGAAAACATCGTGATGCACATATCGGCGAAGAAATTCAAAGATATGTGTGAAGTTTACCCGCAGTGGGCCAGCGTGGTTGACTATGGCCTAGTCACCCCGTATTAGGGTAGGCTCCAGCCCCTCGGTGGGGACGTATAGTGAGCTGGTGACGTGACGTGACGTGATTATTAAAATAAAATAAATTTATTTCCAGGATTCCAGAATCAGTTCGACTACAGACATTAAGATGCCTGACATGGATCTAGATGCTAAGGAAATCAAGCCATCTCTGGCAAGACCTAAATGTAAGTTTACTAATAAAAATCATTATTAAATCCATTCATAAGGCAAACATTACATATTTAATTACACAATAAAACAAAACTGATTAAAAATACAAGCAAAGAACCACAAAAAAAAACTATGTACAGTTGTGGCAATTTCCTACAGTAGAACCTCGATAACTCAAACCTCGGTAACTTAAAAACCTCTATAACTTCCCATCAGAGCCCAAAACCTCTACAACTTGGAATATGCAACCTCTTTAACTTGAAGTAATCTCTGTATTGTCTTCAGTAACTTAAAGAAATGTTTCCACAACCTCTATAACATAAAATTGTTTGTGTTTCCCTTAGACTTTAACTTATCAAGGTAGACAGACAGACAGACAAGACAGATCTTAACAGTAGAACTGTTTGCAACGCTACCAGTATTGATTCAAAAATTGTGTAATAAATATGAACGAATTAAAAACAATAATATGAAAGTCAAAAAATTACACATTGGTACAGCAGGATTCGAACCTAAGAACCTGTTTAGTCTAGTGCTTAAACCACTGGCCCATAAATGGCCTTTGTACCAAAAATGGTTGAACGGATGACAATGAAATTTAGTACAGATGTAGAGGATAGTCTGGAAGAACTCATAGGCTACTCACTTTTGTTAATACCATGCGGATTGAATCACGGGCAAAAGCTAGTGTATCCTAAATGGTTTGTTTCCTGCCTACCTCTTTCTTAGCTTAATTTTTATGCTTTATTACTTAGAACATGTCAGTCCCATAATACCTTGTACAAAATACTTTATAATTGCCCTTATCCCTACGGAGGGTCGGCACAGTATGTGCTCCATACATCTCTATCAGTCATATCTGAATACACTCCTTTCTTAAGCACTCTTTCACACAATCCATACATTTCTTCAGTCTTCCTCTATCTTTGTACAAAATACTTAAACCATATAATCTAAAAGAATTATACAAAAAAACTACCAACTAAAAAATACCAACCCGCATTGGGTCAGCATGGTTGACTATGTCCTAGTCACCCTAATCTAGGGCTCCGAGCCCCTCGGTGTGGACGTATAGTGAACTGGTGATGATGATACAATAAAAGGAAAATAATAAAAAACATAAAAACTACATATTAACAAGCCCATCCTTATACTTGAGTTAAGTTTCAGTTTGGTAGGATATGGTATTTTATTTTCAGCTGATGGTCCAACACCGAAGAGAGCTGCCAAAGCTATACCATTAGATGGATTTAAATGGAATATGCAGGTCTGTTATTAGCGTTTTTAATTTATTTTTATAACTTAAGTTGAATAAGTAATATTTAAGTGTCCAAGATAGCTCTAGAAGTCTACTTATTGTAATATTTTATAATTAAGTGATGGGGACAATCCCATCCCATTTTATGCCTCTGGGTGTGGATATTGAGGCCTAATTATAGTCCCTTTCCCTTTCCACCCTTTTCTTAAGACAAGGACGGGAAGGAAAAGTGGATTTGATGGTGGAGACGCATAGGAAATGTCCTCTTTATGTGCGTCTCCGTCAATTAAGGGTAGGCAGCGCTGCAATTGCGGATGTTTATGGGCAGTCGCTTTCCATTTCAGTGGATTCAGGCCGCTTGCTCTTTTGCCACCATATTGTAAAAAAGCACTCCCCTATATAAAATGGATCTAAATGTTAGACCACCAAAGTTGCGGATGAAAGGAGATTGCATGTGTCTTGTGGCTGAGATGCGTATGTTAAGATGGATGTGTGTGACAAGAATGGATAAAGTTAAGAATGTGTTTAGAGGAATTTAGTAGCGCCAGTGGTGGAGAAATTGAGAAGCAAAAGGTTAGCGTGGTATGGACATATGCGGAGATGGGGACATAAACCAGAAAGTGTTAAGATTGAATGATGGCTACAAATGTAGAGGAAGACGGAAGAAAGTATGGACTGCGTTGCAGAGGATATGCTTAAGCATAAGCATATGCTTAAGCATATCTGAATCCACTCCCTTCTTAAGAAGGGAGTGGATTCAGATATGACAGCTGATAGAGATGTATGGAGTACGGTTTTTTTTAATTAACGGTGGCACAAGCAAGCGGCCTGAATCCGCCAAAATGGCGAAGCGACAGCCCATAGATATTCGCAATAGATTCGTTGTTTACCCTTAATCGATGAAGACGCACATGAAGATTCCCCTTCCTATGCATCTCTACTATTCTATGTTCCCTTCCCATCCTTATAAGCAAAAGGATGGAAAGGAAAAGAGAATGTTGGGCCAAAGTTGGACAAGGGGTGATGATAATAGGTGATGTACGTCTCCCGGTGGTATCCCTACAGGCTTTAGCGACAGCTGCTGATGCTGTGGAATCTGGTGGAAAATCCCCAGTGTCAGCTCTCAATGAGCTAGGGGTTCGTGTGAATTACACATTACGACAGCAAGGAGGACCTCCGCATTGTCCTAGCTTCGTTATAACTGTTGAGGTTAGTACATCCTTATTAATCTATATTTTATTTATTTGTATACTTGCTATTAACAACTGTCAAAACTTCTATAATATATATCTATTAGTTTTCGCCCGCGATTTCGCGTGGGATTAAAAAAAAAACAAAAGTGAGTAGCCTACGTGTTCTTCCAGACTATCCTCTACATCTATGTGAAATTTCATTAAGATCTGTTCAGCAGTTTAGGCTACAAACTAACAAACATCCATCCATCTAAACTTTCGCATTTATAACATTAGTAAGATAATTAAACCTTGTTTGTAGCCTTAACTGCTGAACGGATCTCGATGAAATTAGGCATAGATGTAGAGGATAATCTGGAAGAACACATAGGCTACTTATTTTTGTATTTTTTTATT